AGACTGGTCTCAAACTCAGAAAATCCCAGTGCCCTTTGTTGTGCCCAGATTATGACCTCCAGAGAGAGACCACCAGATAGGTCCAGACTGTAATAAGCAAGGTTTAATCAGCATAATGCAAGCATGTTTGGAACTCCTCTCCACCCCCCTTACAATAAGGTAGAGAGGAGTTGTATCTCCTCTGTGGGGTGAGCTTTTAAAGGCATAACTACAAAGAGGATCTTTGATGCTGCTTTGGCAAGGGTACAAGGACTTTTGCTCCCTCCCATTCTGTTAAGTCAGCTTTCTCCTTGTTCTTAGAGCAAGGCCACTGTCCTTGAGTTAGGCCATCTTTAACAGTCTGTACCAGGTGGCTGGCTGGGCTGAGCTAGGTTACCTTCTGCTTGGAATCTTGCAGGTGGGAGAGGAGAAGGCCACTATCTTCCCAAGAAAACATTCTGCTAGGAAATTTCTTCTTGCCCCTTTGATAATAAGGGGTGAGGGTACCACACCTTTTGCTCCTGAGTCATGGTGTTAAAGGTGTGCATGGTCAGCAAGCAGCTAAAGTTGGGTTCTATTATCTCAAACTATCCAGATGAATGGAGGATTTTCCCGTTTCAAAATCTTTAAGTAAAATCTCTCTCAGGTATAATTAATTCTTTGTGTATTAGTTAATTCCAGAGGTAGTCAGTTTGACTACCAAAAATAGCCATTTCTACAGCCAAGACAAAAGAAATGAGAAAAAATTATTGCTTGCAGGAGGCACAAAGTGCACAGGAGTTATTTTCAAAACAGTGTTTTTCCTCAACAAAGGAAGAATGGGGATTTTACTTAGGATGTCTGAACATGCTCATGTAATGTTCTCCCTTTTCTTATGCATGCTAAATTAACAAATCCACTAGTGAACTTGATTACAATGTCAAAACAGATATTTAGGGGCATTCTTACCATGAAGTCTTGTAGGAACATTTGTTAATTAGACAAATGATGGAAAGAAATGTCGCTGGCATGTTCATATTTTACCATAAGTTCTTACTTGAAAATCAAGAGGATGACAGTGTGAAAAGTTGATTGTCAATCTTGATGTTTGATCTAAAAGATAACTGTACCAACCCTGTACATCTCACAGACACAAAAGATAGAGAACACAAAACCAGAAAACTTCAAGGAAAAGTCACCTAACAGCCCTCTATACAGTGCTCCTGGATGAACAGTTATGATGATCTCTGTTACTCTCAGAGCAAAGCTGGTTTTGCTCTGAGCAGGGTGGTTAGGCAGAGGTCACAGCTGCTTCCATGCAAGACAAGAAGGAGTCCATTTTAACTAGACCTGGCTTGCTGTCTGCCTCAGGGTCAGGGCATCACTGTAGCGAATTTCATTCTTTTTTTTTTTCTAACCTTAAAAAAATCTTTAATTATATAATGTTTTGCTTGCATGTGTCTATGCACAGCACCTACAAAGGGCAGAAGGGATGAGATACCTGGGAACTGAATCAGAACAAATGGTGAGTTGCATGCAGGGGCTAGGAATGGAATCAGGGTCCTCTGTGAAAACCGCCAGTGCTCTAATTGCTGGGCCATCCAGCCCCTCTTTTTAATTTATAATTAATCTTTAAAAATTGTTAATCAAAAGACAATACATCATTTTTTATCTCTTTATTCCATCCCTGCCACAAATCCCTTCCAACTTCATCCTTGTTAAGTGTGTTTAAATAAGTATGCTGAAATACATAAATATGTCATGCCCAAATCTGCAAAGTCTCCAAAAAGCCA